AATAAATAAAATGCTTATCCTTCATGTTACACTTTGAATATAACAATGCATTTATTTTTTTACTAGCTTATTCTCATTTTCTTCTATTGAATCTCCAAGTACTCAAAAAAAATATTGAATAATGAATAAAATTATTTTTTATAGGAATATCGCATGCCATGTCATCATGCATGATTGCACTTCCCAAGAACCGCTCAATTCTTATTGGATTATTTGATTATATTGCTTTATATTAACCATTGAATGATCCATTCTTTTTCAAATACACCACCGCTGTATTGTTGCTGTGACTGTATAATGTCTACTGTTAATAGACTAGATAATACCGTAAGCTCAATATTGGCGACTGGAGTATTAATTTCCATATCGAAAATATTGCTGGTGGATTCTGCCAAGGTCATTACCAGCTAGCTAATTGTTTCTTTTCAAAGGTTATATATCACGTTGTGAAATATTAAATATTGGCTAGTAGTAGGAGAGTATTTGTCTTTGTTGATTGGTTAGTCAAGGTTATATTTCCCGCCTCTTTCACTTAATACTTCCTTATTGTCATAGCAACATGTGACTACTTGTGAAATATATTCTCAAATTTTCTGTTGGGAGAGAAAAGATCTGGTAAAAGTCTCCAGTGGATTGAAGTAAAAGCATTAAAAAAATAATGCTTCCCACTTGGATCTTATAAATTTATTTCATTTTGAATCCTGCTGTGTAAGTTATTTTTTCTTATTTTTCAATATGTCTTTATTTTCTAATGTATACAAAAATTATTATTATTTATATTTTGTATTTGGATATTTTTGTCAATTAACCTTTTGTTGTAAAAATTAGTGTTTTATTTACATGTGTAGTTCAATATAGGTTGAAAATTATTTTGGCAACGACAGTGGTAGCTCTAGGATATATTTTCTGGGGGGGCTAAGTTGTCCGACAGGGCGACTTGAGCTCGTAGGCTCGAGCTGGAGGAAGGGGTTGAGAGGGGGGTACCCCTCCCAAATGAGATTTTTTTTAAAGAATATCAACATCTGGATGGCAATCTCAGACTGTGACAAACGTGTGGGCTTGGTGTGGGCCTATTTTTATATGTTTTATGGTCTGACTGTCCGATGAGCTCTGTCCGGTGGGGGGGAGGGCTTGACTTGTCCGGTGGGGGGACTTAAGCCCCCACTGCCACCCCGCTGGCGCCGCCACTGGGCAACGATAAGCTATGAAAGTTATTTCTAGTTGGATCCTTTTCTTGGTGAACTTTGGCAGTTCACCAGAAGGGCAGCTCCTGGCATGCACATGGGACTTATGGCTTAATCGTCTCATTCAAAAACTTGCTAAAGTACGGCGGGTAGGGGGCGGATCCAGAAATGTCCAAAAAGGGAGGGCCAAAGTAGTGATGATTGAGACAACACTAACCTAGGGGGTATGGAGGCATGTCCCCGCAAAAATCCGAGGCGCTTAGGGAGATCTGAAAGGATCTCCATGGTTCAGCAAATAGTAGCTATCAAAGTTTAGCCGACTGAAATTAAGCTCCTCTCTTAATTTCACAAAAATGTGTCTGGTCAACCGGATATATTTTTTTAAAAAGGATAAATCCCTTTCACAAAAATGGCCACCACACATTGCTTACCATGCTGTCTGGATATTTTAGTTATTCAGAATTTTTTTTATCAGAGGCAACCCAAAAAAATGAGCGAAAGAACAAAAACTTATATATTTAATATTCTTTCATTACAGTTTTGATTATTAATTTGGTAGATGTACCAGGATATACTGACCTTCTATAGGAGTATGATAATTAATTATCATACGCACTTACTAATCTTCATATTCGCAAATAATTATAAATAATATAAACAGCATGTTATATTTAGTTCATCAAACTATAATTATTTCTGAATACGATGTCTGATTATTATTTTTTAATTACTATTATGTGTCATCATTACCATAGCAACGGTATGGGCAGTTGAAATGGTTGAACTTTGGGATACAAACCACTTGGTGCAACAACAATTAAAGATTACATTTTGAATGTCGCACCCATATATAGGCAAATCCCTTGTTACATAAAACTTTATTATAGTGTGACGAAACCTGGTTAAATTCCACTTTACAGTTACTGGTAGATATTTCAAAAGCCTGATAGTATTACAATACAAACCTTCAGCATCTTGCTATAACTGACAAAATCATAACATTTTAGCAGACGATGGGACAATTCTGGAGCAGACAACAATTATAATATTTGAGCAGTAGGAAAGTTTTTACTACCGAATAAATTTTCACTTAAACGATTTTCAGGATGATTTTCTAAAAATGTCATTTCTAAATTTATGGACTCTCCAGCCTTACCTGCTCGAAAGTGTAATGTAAGTTCATCAATACTTACTTTATCTTTTACTTTACATGAGCACCTGTTTCATGCTTGGCTGCCTATTTCACTAACTTGTATTAATGAAGAAATTAGTGATTCATTACTTTATCCGTAGTCAACAGATTTGTTGGAATACAGTGTGTGTAACTTTAACAATATAGGTATACTGTCTGTGTAGACAGTGGTTTCAGGTGATTGTTCCCCTCACCCCTTTACCCCCACAGTATCAGACCAAAACCCTGTTGGATCGCCAATAAACACATTCTTAATTACAACCACTCTGTGGAGCTAATAGCTATGAGTAGTGGTTATAAGGTTTTTCCATTTTGGAACTTGATTTCATTAAATTAATGAGGGGTTTTTCCAGTACCAGAGACAGTAAATTGTTAAAGCATCCTATCTAATAAACCATCTTATACTGTACAATACAGTGATTTTTTTTTTTTTCCCCAATACTTTTTGTGCTCTAATCTTATCTCATTAATTTATTTACTCTTGAAGCATAACAACAAATACATATATATTTGGTTGTCTCTGAACCATAGCAAAGTGAAGGAACGCATTTTTGGATATTCCTTTCCTAAAAATCAAGGCAATTTCAAAACAAATTAACTTTCTTTTAATGAGGCCAAGGATTGTAGACCATCCTTCCTGGTATAAATACCTGCATTTTAAATGAGCGGTGTCCTTCGCTATTGTAATCTGCGGTATCATTGTTGTTGATGAACCCACGTAATCTCCTCCCGATGACGCAGAGATGGAATATATAAACAAATGGTTTTATTTGTTGTTGTTATTCAAGTATTATGCGACACCAAAGGATGTGTGTGTAGTGGTATAACTTCCTGAATATTTTTTATAGTAGTTCTACGACTAAGGCTATGGGTCTTGGGACTATATTCTTTGCAGAGATTCTGAGATATAAACATTTTTGGAAAATAGGACTAAACGGTTTTCAGATGGGAGTTAGGTAATTTCTTTTTATGCTTCCGATATTAAATTTTGTTTCTTCAAAAATGTTTTGAGGTCCAAAGCTGGGCCACAGCCCATAGCTTGCAGACTGTATTTTTTAAAACTAAACTACTATAGTTTTATGCTCCTTTTATTACTGGCATAGGATGTAATTTTACTACTACTGCTTGTAAAATACAGTTGGTTTTTGTTTTGCACTACAGTAAATCAAAGAATATAAAGAATAGTCAATTGTTCTAGATCATGGTATCCTAATTTATAAGCAGGCTATCTTTCATAAGCTCATATTTTTATGACACTAAAAAAGAACAATTTATTTCATTTGCGACAGCTGTGTAGGATGTACGTCATGAATGGCGGGATTTTGACAAACGATAATAAATACATGCATACATGTTACAATTCATATTAAACATTCTAGTTGTACATCCTGCCAAAGGAAAATGTCTACCTAATTGTTTAATCTAATTAATTTAAATTTCGCTATAACCTTTGACACCTATTAAGATCGTATGATTGTTGTAAATGCAATTTCTTTAATGATTCATAGTTTTTGAACCATACTTGGTCTCGCTATGTGTTTAATGATTTTATTATAAAAAATAGTAACTCAGTAAATGAAGATTATGGTGTATAAAGAATAATGTTAGTCATTTCTGTACCATTCTTCCATTCATTCTGTTACTATTTTGGATATATATAAAGAAAAATACATAGTTTTATGTACCGGTATACAATTCCGTAGCCAGGATTTTCAAACAGTGCGGGACAATATCAGGGTAGACCCACTTTACACATAAATTCAAACATTGTGGACCCATTTTACGCAAAAATATGAAAAATCTGAACCCATTTTCTTAAATTTTACCCATTTTAAACTAAATATGAGAAATCTGGACCCATTTTTCAAATAGTAGACCCATTTTATGCATAAAATTACATAATTTGGACCCATTTTTTAAAATGTGGACCCATTCTTTGTGGACCCATTAGAAAAATTGTGTGGGACTCTCCCAACTGTCCCGATAGCTGGCTACGGCATTGTCGGTATATTGAAAATAATGAAGTTAATAAACCTGAGATTTTGTGAGATAAGTCTCTGTTATTGCTGACATGTCAGCATTCATACTCACCGATTTGTGGAGGAAGTCAATCAGGTGACGGGTTTAACGGCGGATTGTCAAATACGTGACCAGCACGCTCCAAAACTGAAACAGACATTGATGTCATCATTGTTGCCTGCTGTTTCGGTGAGGGAAGGTCGCACGACGATGTGATTCACAACAATTTAAACCCAGTTATTATCTATTCATAAGACTTGCATGGTTTCTCTAAGGCATTTTTTTTTTCATTTTGAGGATTTGTACAGGATAGAGGTATGCCAGTAGATATTAAAACTGGCTTTTGTTTACTTTAGTTATTTAATATTCCTTTATGTTTATGGTTTTTATTTCATTTCAGTTTTGCTTTCGGGCAATTTAATGACCTTGATCAAATATGAAATCAGAATTGTGCTTTACAGTATTTGATTTATTTGACATACATATTTTTGAATTGAAATTTTATTAATAAGTACAGGGATCGAATAAAATGAAAAATTATACCTACCCGGTTTTTTATACTTAAATTTATGGCTCATATATATTTTTATTTTTATATTTTACAGAACTGAGAAGGGAGCACAAACAACAGAAGTAACAACTACTCCAAAAAGGAAGAAGAAGAATCAAGCAACACCATCAGGAGGGGGTAGTGGTGGCGGCGGCGAGAAGAAAGGGGCAGAGAAATCTTCCACTGGTGCCGTTACTCAGGGGGAGGCATCTCCCCAACCCAGTCTTGGAAGTCGTACCCTTGTTGTGTCTTTAGCTGAAGACCAGATCGACAAACAAAGCGCAATAAACTCTAACATCACCAAACCAAGTAATCAACCAAGTCTTGAAAATCTTAGGAATATATCAAACAGTGGTCCAGCAACACCACCAAACAGCCCTGCAACATTTCAGAACAAGGAAACACCAATAAACACATGTATTGCTGATCAAATTCAGGAAATACCCGCTCAATCATATGATAATCTTGTTGAGGACTCTTTAGATAGTTTTGATCGTGCAACACCACGGAGGAGGAGCACAAGGTCACCGCTTCGCCGAGAGAAGTCATTCAAACAACGTAGGCAGGAAGAGAGAATTATTCAACGATCCCGGACTTTGTCCAATCCGTATGAGTTGTCAGTGGAATTATATAGTAAGCAGGTATGTCCTGAATGTCCTCATTTTGGCATAGGTTTTCTAAAGTAAGGGAGCTAAGTATATGTGCTTCTTTGCAAACATAACTTACATTACTGTTTTGAATTTGTTCCAAGTGTTTTGCAATAAGGTGTAAGGAATTTTTAGATTTATTTTTGTAATTTAATTTATGTTAGGTTTTCTTTAATTGATGTTAAGTTATATAATTCATATATTGCTATTATTATTTATTAGTATAATACATTATTTATTAATAATAAGATTTATAATTTGAAAGATGGTAATATTAAGTATATGTGTACTGTAATATGTAGTTCAATTTTCAATAATTGCATTTAACCTTATTGTTTTTAAGTTTTATTGTGCTAATTTTTTTTTCAGTTATATTTATTTATACACATGTAAATGTTTTGTATGTAGATATGTGTACTCTTTGTGAGCATTATGAAGTTATTGATGTTTATGTAAAATATAAGTTACAAATTGTTTATACTGTGATTACTTGAATCTATGATTGCTACAGGTGGAGATGCTAGAGAAGAGTTATGGTGGAAGAGACAAAGCTCATAAGGCCGCCCAAGTTATCCAAAGCGCTTACCGCCAGTATGGAATGAACAAACAATTCCAACGTCTACGAAGAAGCCAATCTGAGAATCGCTCTTCACGCTTACTGTCCTCGTTGCGCTCTTCAAAGGGCTGGGAACAATTTAGTAATCGTGCTCGTATTGTTATGCTAGAAGACCCTGTGAATATTAACGATTTAGGATTAAAAACGCCGACTCCGGAATCACTTGATTTGGATGTGTTTGATAGAGAATACACAGATCACTCAAAGACAAATCTAGTTAAGGTGCAATCATTGGATGGGAAAAGTGGAAATAGCAACATAAACGTTTCAAATAAATCTGAATTCGATGGAACAGATGTTAAAAGATCAGTGCAGAGGATGGTTGTTACGGTGATGATGAAAAAAGAAACTCGCAAAACAGAGATAATTAAAACAGAAACCATGCATAAGCGAGCACAAAGCGTTGGCACTTTAGAACAATTGCCTGTGGAATATCCAAGCAGTGCAAAGTTATCAACAATACCGCCGAGTATAGGTGAGGTCGGTAGTATGGCTTCGATCTTGCCAACGCCGCAAGATTCACAAAAAGCCTTTCATAGTCATATACAACGAACAACCGGGCTAGCAGATTTGTCAAAGGGTGTTGATAGTACCGACAGTATGCCAATGCAAATGAAAAATAAGGCCAAGATGATGACCCTTGGCAATGGACAAAAAGCCAGTGTTGGGAAAATTGGACATCTGCCAACTAAGGTTAGTTCATCTAAGCAGCCGGTCTATGATCCGCTTACAAGTAGAACCACGCCTACTAATAAAGACGTTGTTCTAATGCCAAAAACCAAAAATTCAAAACTAAGCGACAAAACCACAAGAGCAGAACTTATAATCAAGCCGGAGCAGATGGCTCCAAGTGGGAGTGAGAGCAGTTTAGATAGCCTGCGCAAACGTGATTCCTCTTCCTCTGGCGTATACAGCGATTACAGTACGACAACATCTGAAAGTTCTCTTCAAAAAACCGAAATACAGGAGAGTTCAGAAGTTGTAGAAATGTCGGCGAAAGATAAATTGAAAATTAAGCACGAGAAATCTTACAGTTTGCCAGAAAATATAATTTTGGACACAAGCGGAAATAAATTAAGTCCAGAAGGAGTAGACCCTAAAAAATCCAAGAAAAGAAAAGGTTCAAAGAAAAAGGAAAAGAAAACCAAAGATGATTTAAAGAAGGGAAATGTATCTGCCTTTGAGGATATGAGTATAGAAGGTGATAAATTGAAAGGACCATTTAAGCGATGGCGTAGTCGAAGTGCTGAAAGACGGCCAAGGAAGCTTGATATTGACAATCATCATCGTTGGCATATTTCAAGGGAGTCTTCAACGGATGTATACTCAAGAGCTTTTAATTTAGAATTTGGACTTCAAGGGCGAAATTATTCGTCCACTCTGCCAAGAAGATCTGCAAATAAGTTAATCAGGGAACCGTGCTATAACGATGATATAGCATACTATTCAACGATGCCTGCTAGGTCAGAGAGGACGCGATCAAATACCGAGGGCGACTTAGATTATGATCTTGATGTTACCTTAACGAGGGGGGGTAAGCGGCGCACACACACCATCGATTATGGGGAATTGGATAGAATCTCTTTGGCCTCAACAGCAAGTAGTGACTTTGGCGATTTTGAGAGAGATACATTCCTTCCAACATCTTCCCCAAAAGCACCCGCAGTTGTCTTGTCAACGTCGGACAATACAATGAGTCATGATTCAGATTCAGACTCTGATATCTCTGACACGGAGGACCTTTGCCATGATGAAACTTTAAAAGCCGAAGATTGCCCAGAGCTTCATGTAGATATGCGCGAATTAACCCACCCAATACACGTGCAGGACTTCCAAATGTCGCCGTCTCCTGTCTGGAAGCGCAAACATACAAAACTAGCCAACGGTTCTCTGAATCTGCACAAATCAGACACGCGAGAAAGTGTGAGCAGCGAAAGCAGCGGTTCTTCCAAGTTAACAGTTGGTGATGACTCAAGCGTGACCACAGGCAGCATAGATAGCTTACGAGAAATGCCTGTTATTGAACCTATACCACCATCAATGGCAATACCAAACACCCCACCAAGACGTCGCAAATACAGAATCGGACTTAATTTATTTAACAAGTAAGATTTTCAGCATTTGGATTGTTTTACTTTTTGTTACAAACTTAAATTTTATAATTTTACTTTGAAATTTAATGTTATTGTAATTTTAACCAAGATTTCATTATATCAGAACCCATTTAATATTTTAAACTGATTTCTATTTCTAAGGAAACCAGAAGAAGGTATCAAAATTTTGTTGCAAAATAAATTCATGGAAAACTGAACACACGAGTTGGCCAAGTTTTTACTAATTTCTTTATAACAATGTAATAATAATGTTACTTTGAAATTTTGTGTTATTGTAATTAAAACCAAGATTCAAACTATTTTATTTTAGACTGATTTCCTATTAATTGGTTTGCTCTTTATCGTCCACAGAAAACCAGAAAAAGGTATCAAATTTTTGATTGAAAATAAATTCTTAGAGAACTCAACACACGAGGTGGCCAAGTTTTTACTAAGCCGTATTGGATTGAGTAAACAGAAGATTGGGGAATATTTAGGAGACTTGCAACAGCAATTTAACATGATGGTGCTAGAGTAAGTTTACAAAAAAATGTTTATTTATTTTTTTAAATAATAATATACTTTATTTTAACCCAGAGATATTTGAATCACCTTGGGTGTTTTTCATCAAGTTCGGGCAGGACCATACAAAAGAAACAAAATGATTGAAAACATAATTGTTTCACGTCCAGCAGTGACTGGCATGCCATAGAGTACTATAGTGGTACGTCACGATACAACATGATACTACTCCGTTGCTATCATTGCAAAATGCGTTCAATCAGACGCCATTTTCTCCACTGACAAACCATTGATCCCAATTTCTAACGTAATTTTTAAGATGTTAGTTTTTTTTTGTAAATTTTAATTGATGATTAAATGTATGTTCGATAACTAATGTAATGCGAGCTTTTGTGTTGTAAGTTCATTTTGATGGTAAAATATTAGATTTTAAAACACCTATTCCAGAAAGCCTATGAAGTCATTCAGGCGTAATGAACGGTTACCAACGTCTGGTAGATGACAGAGGGCGCCACCTGAGGTTGTGACGACACGACTGTAGTACTCTATAGAACGAATGGAATATAATATTGTCAAAAATTAATAATACTGCTGCCCATTTTTGATAAATCATATAAAATAAACCACAAAATCATATACCAGTACTGAAGAAAACTACTTTCCATAGAAAGTAAATTGTTTGGTCTGGTTTTCTTATAATTGCTTTTTTATCTTGGGGTTTTTTTTTTCTTTTTCAATTCATGGAAATATAATTAAGTAACGTGTGTATTCTACATCTTGCGGCTTAGCATATTGATATGAAAACCAGTAAATAATGATGCAATAATTTAAACTAGTTTATGCTAGGCCAAAAGTTCAAATAATGATATCGTAAGCACATCTTGACAATAACTTATTTCGTAACTGCTTCGTTTCCTGTTGATTGTTTAGTGAACATCATGTGATAGCCACCTACAGTATTCTGTGGTTAAAAGTCTTGTGGTCAGATCTGTTATTAGAATTAATGTTTCTTTTGTCTTGATTAATTTTCTTGCTTGATACTATTAATTGGTTTTTATGTCATCATTTGGCATGTACTTACATTTGTAGAAATTTGGGTTGATTGTTTTTTTTTTTTGTTAGCAATTTCTTTCAAACATGTTGATGTTACAAATGATTATGAATCTATATGCTATTGGAATTTTGTTTTTATGCACATCAAGATTTCTATATATTTATATCGTGTGTACTATATATTGAAACATTATTTGTTATTGTAAATTGTACCATTTTCCTTTCAAGGTTAATTGCCACTCTTTCATCTACCAGTACATTATAAGTGTGACGTTTTCCGACCTTTATGGTCGTAAGTGTTTACGATTACGTGACCGATATATTCCTAGGACTCACACGCAATTAAAACGATAGTAAACAAACTATCGTGGGCTAAGTTTTGAGTGTAAAGTTCATTTAGTCGTAGTATGCAACTACCTGTATCTATATCTCAAAAATACTTGCAAAAAAAACACATTGAAATAGCATTTGCATTATGATGCGAACACAGATCGAAATTATGATAATATCGTGTACTTTTTTACTATTAGATTTCTATTTGATAATGTAAAGTTAATTGAAGTTGTCTCATTTCTATAGATGTTATGTTGAAGAAATCAACTTCCAAGGTCTTACAATTGACAACGCTCTTAGGAAATTTCAGTCATACTTTCGAATGCCAGGAGAGGCTCAGAAAATTGAGCGCCTTGTGGAGGTAAAAAATCTTTAAATATATTATTCAATTTATTTTGGAAGGTCACTGAAATTTAAGTTAATTAGTCGTGGATAATATCAAAGTGTGATAACACAGTGTTAATAATTGTAGACTTGGCTCATACATTTTTGCTCGTATTGTTTTTTGTTGTACAACTGTTAATACAACCACAACTAACTTTATTAAGTTACTAATAAAATTAAGTAAGAATGAATCATGTAGCATGGGTTTATTTTTTCTGTAGGCTTTTTCACAACGTTACCTCGTGTGTAACCCTGAGATTGCAAGCACGTTCAACAACCCGGACACGGTGTTCATCCTTGCTTTTGCGATCATCATGCTCCACACGGATCTCCACAGTCCAAATGTAAAAAACGAGCGCAAGATGAAACTTGATGACTTTGTCAAGAACCTTAGGGGTATAGATGATGGACAAGATATAGCTAAAGAACTCCTGCATGGAGTCTATGAACGAATAAAGAAAGAAGAATTCCATCCAGCAACTGATCATGTGACCGCAGTACAGAGTGTAGAGCAAAGCATTCTGGGTAATAGACCTGTAAGTTTCCACTGTGGATTTTCTTTATAAACAGAAGTGTAAAATATTTATTTAATATTGGATAATAAAGTAATAAACTCAATTATGTGGAGCAGGATAAAAAATGTGCGGTTTGATTTGAATTTTAATATTAATTCTGTTTTATGTTTTTTTTGGCTTTTTTTTTTTGTCTTGTAGATTCTTTCACAAGCTCACCGGAGGTTAGTATGCTCTGTGAGCCTATTAGAAATCAACGATCCCAGCAAACGGGAGAAAAAGCACTTTAGGGAAATATTTCTGTTTAACGATATGCTTGTGGTAAGTGTACCATCAAATAGTTATTTTTTATTGTCATGCTTTCGTAAAGAATGTATTTTCTTGTGTTATGAAATTAAACAAGTTAAATAATCTACAGTAAAGTAAAAATTTAAGGAAGAAAGGGGGAAAAAAAAGTTACCTAGCAAACATCCGTGTTTTTAAAATGAGAACACTTTCCCATCTGTCTTCTTTTATAAACTGATCTTATCAAGGATGTGTTTAGTAGTGTCCACACCTTCGTAATCATTGACATATGGTATACAGGTGAAAATCTTTAAGGAGTGGTAAGATCCTACAAGACAGGTGGACTGAAAGCTATCATCACACCTCATCTGAGTCGTCCCCGGAAGGTGTGGCCGAAGGGCTAACCTAGGACCACTCATACTTTTGCTTTCTTTTCATATCTCCCCTGGTTATACAGGATTTATGAATTCAATCTATAGTCTGTAATTTGTGATGTAACTGTCAATCATCTTTATGTTTGTTTGTTTTTTTTTAACTTGTTCTGCGATTCTAAACACAATATTTTGTTATCACTTACCAGGTTACTAAGTTGTTGGCAAGGAAAAAGACAGGAACATTGTACAACTTCAAGAAGTCTTTTCCACTCCATGGAATAACAGTGTTAAAATATGAAACACCTTGTAAGTTTAAAACAAGCACAATTTAATTCTTCACTACATTTGAAATATGATTAGCTTATTTTAAGTATAAATTATAAAGAATTTGCATGTTTCCACACCCTTTTAAGCAAACAATGTTTAGTTGTTTTAGAATAGGTTTAGTATTAAGTAATCATCATTTTTTCCATAATTTTCTAGGGTGTAAAATAAACACAGTTCATGTACCCTTTTATAGCAGTGAGAAAATGATCATTTCAAATTGAAACTTATTGTATTATGTACTCTTTTAGGGGATGGAGGGTCAGAGAAAGACTCCCTAGGAAACAATGAAAAGAAAATGGATGGCCCTTAAGTAACTATAGAAATATAAGAATTTCATTTTAAATAATTTACCCAAACCAAACCATCTGGTTTGGTTTATTTTTAATCTCCCTGTGGTTTACATTGTATCCTAATCACTTTTCGTCGCTATCCATGAAATGTCTGCCGCTTCAAAGCGGCATCAACAAATGCAAACGTACCAAAAATAAGTCAGGCACTAATGTATAAACAGGTGGAGACACCTATTCTCAACTAGTTCAACCCTTCATCTTAATAGAAACCCACAGGAAGCAATAGTCATACTATAAAACGAATTGATTTTTAACTCCTAAGCAATAATAACAATATTGATATGAACATTTATTAAAGGTTAAAGCAACACATGGGAGACATTGATAGATGTAATTGAAGACTGGCCAAGTTATTTCGGTCCAATGATGTTACGATTAAATCTTGGATGTCATGAGAATTCAATGGAAAATGAAAGAAATATATCAGAAATTGAGTTATATATATATATTAACTTTTCTTTTTGTTTATATTGTAGTTTATCCGTACGGAATAAGACTCATCAGCGTCGTTGATAATAAAGTACTTGCAACATTCTGTGCGTTAAATCACGAGGATTGGTCCCGATTTGTACGTGATCTCCAGGAATACGTGATGGAAATGAATGAAATGGAGGACATACGAATTGGAGGTAAACGCAACATTATTTTTCGATTTTTAAGAAATTTATGCAGCACAAGCTGAAAGATACCGTATCTAACTCTATAACCCTGCACTGCAATCACACTAAGCACGTAGTTACAGCTAATCAATAATACAAATGGAATACACTAACTTTTTAATTGACTCCCAATATGGATAGCAAGAGGTTGTTACGCTTCAATATGATGCCCCGAATGATGCTCTTAAATTAATCAATATAACGTATTTGACAACTGCCCTCTTAGGTATTAATATTTAATCATTATGTCACTTAACGAGTGGGATATGTGATACATTGCTCACGTCACAAATTGTAGGGGAAAAACCTGTTTAATGGTCAACGGGATAAGAAGCATATCCAAAGATTGCCTTCCTAGGAAACCGGCTCAAACCGGTTTGCTGTGCTGTGGTTTGTTGCATATCTGATTTTTCCACCAGTGCAACACATTTTATTGGCTAATAATTGCATTTGTTCTACAATCAATGTAGTGTTTTGTTTGCACTTTATCAATTCCACAGCAAAGGAAAACTTTTGTGTCTTATCTCATCCTGCAGTGGTTGGGAGTTTCCCAGTGGAACACACCTCTTAACTATCATGGGGAGTCGTATAATATTTACCGCATAGACACTCCGGTCTCTGTTGAAATAGCCAATAAGGTTTTCTCATTATTAATGTAATTTACATCAGTTTACAAGTCGTGGGAATATACTCCCCGTGGAGATGGTTTCCTTGCGTCGTCAAGGCGCTTGTGCATCATACCTGCTGATCTTATAGACGTGTCCCATATCAGACTCCTTATGAAAATAGTTAGGGAGTTACATTTCAATAATGGTTTCTAAAATAAACCACAGAGTGACTAATATATAACTGTGTATGTGTGGCACCGCCCATTGTTGTGGTAGTAGGTAAAATCAGAAACTTGTTGGCTTAAAAACTATTATTGGGGTTTATCATTATATATAGTTGATGTCACCATTTTTGTGCATAATTTTTGGTGAAAATGATGCACATCCCAACTGAAGAGTCCTCAAGATGAGGAACATAATTTTGACAATTGAGCTTCATCTTTTGGCTTTCCATTCTTTTCATTCTATCACCTTCTCGCATCTCTGTTCATCCCACTAGCTATGTTACAAAGAGCTTCTATGAAGGTGAGTACTGAGTGGTACTTAAGTTTAGTGTGAGTTGAGCTTTTGTATCTGTAGTGAAACTAGACTTCTTTACAAGATACTTTTTTTTTTCATTTCAGTTCATTTTCTTGTTAGCCATCTTGTATATATTAATGTCATGATTTGATGTATTATCATATTATTATCTCTCATTCATGCATCTTAAATTTCTGCTTTCTGATATGCTTTTGAATGCACTTTCATTTCTTTCCTATATAGTTATTGGTACAATCATACATTAAGTTTAATGTGGATTATTGTGGCCAGTATACAGTACTATATTGTAGTTTCCATTATCACTTGCATGGGATTTTGGGTACACAATGCATGATAGCTTTCAGTTGGCTGTGTACACTCATTGATTGCGAATATTTTGAATTCATACTTTGATTGTCTAGTTATAAATCAGCTGGTTGATTGGCAGATTTTGTATCAGTATATATTTTTTGTTAATAAATAGCAGTTTGAGTAAAATAATTTGTTGTCATATTAGATTTGTTAAAAGAGAACTGTAGTGGTGAACTTTTAGGTGCATGATCACTATGCAAGGAACTTTCAATTGTACAACAGTGATAAGATCTGAGACATCTTTTGCACATGCAACAATGTCCAATTATTACTGACGTCCACCAGAGGATGGTCACTGTTGAGTGAATCCATCCTAGGGTCATGTTGTGCGATTTGCAAGCTTCCTAATAATTGGTGATGGAACACTAAAACATTGGTTAAGTAATAAGTAATTTGCAGGTGGGGTTGTCTAAATTAATGGAATGTCTTTTGGGTGGGTACCAATAGTAAATTCAACAGCAATTAGAAAGGATAATGCATCATTCAGAAGTTATTTAATTTAATTCAGAATATTATCACAGAGAACTGGTATTAAAATTATGAATTATAAAAAATTTCCAGATGTTAATCTGGATAACATTCATTAAAAAATGGTTTTAAAAATTATCTAAATTTATTGATTGATTGTAAATCATTTCAATATCAACTATTTTAATTATGAATTATGGGTATATTTTCACAAAATATCTCTGGATGTTGATCTGCCTTACCATCATAAGAAGCTGGCTTAAAAATTATCTAAACTTATTGATATTATATTAAACAGATTGTTAAAATTATTAAAATATTATGAATATTTTACAAAATGTTTGTAGAAAATGAAATGTTGTGATGTCAGCATAACGTCAACACTATTATAGAGTAGCATGTTAGCCTTTCAATCACTCCTTATCCAGGGTAGACAAAAATGCCACTATAACAAGATTTCCTCTTCAATTAGAAAATTTAATAAAATTCTATATTTCTTTTTCTTTCGAACAGCTGAACTGGAAAGACAAAAACTAATCCGCAAAGCACAAGGCTATACAGCGGACTCGGGCCTAGGCCTGGACTCCGAGAGCATAACAAGCAACAACCTGAGTGGAAGCATGGACTCTTTAGCGCCCCCAGAAATTATCAAAAGAACTGCCCTCTCAAATTCCCTAATGGACCTTAAAGAAGCATCAGGTATGGAATACTGATTAGCTGTTTGAATGGGAAGGTGAAATATTTTGGTAGGGGGAAAGTTTTAATGAGAAATAAATAGCAGATGACTTTATTGTATTGATATCAATATTGACAGGAGACAATGTAATTATACGACTTGTCATTGGAAACTGTAATAATCGCTCACAATGTGCAAACATCCTCAACTTCCTGGCAGTGGCGACGCCTGGCACCATGGGGAGGGTTATCGGAGGGGCTAAGGCCCTTATATCAGACAGGCTGAGCCCCTGCCAACCACCAAAAAAAAATAAGATTCTCCCTCAAAATATCCCTTACAGCATCTCAAAACAGCTTAAAATTGGCCCTGTTTGTCTAGGCACCAGGGCCCACCCCATCCCCCAAAATATCATGTGATTAGTTATATAGAATTAAAGATTATTTCAGTGTGTTTATTACCACTGATTTATTTATGAATAATTAATGATAAGTAATTTGTTAATAATAATAAAATAAGAAATTGTATGCATTTTTAATCATTCTCAGATAAGCAGAACCATAGAGTAAGTGCAAGTTCATTGGATGGAACCATAGTAAGTTCACCTTAAAAGCATGATTTGCCCATATATGGGTATAATATGACATCATCATTCCCGTATAGGCACCATGTGCCATCATCATGTCCATATATAGGCATGTCACACGGAATGTAACCTTTCACTAAAAGATTTACTTCCTGTGTAGAGCTGAAAACCCTTGAATGTACTTACTTTAATTGCTATATTTTTTATAAAATATTTCCATAATATATTACAGATAATATTTTAAATAACATTATATTATGACATAAGAAATGCGTATATATGTATGTATAGCACTAGTATGACTATCTTTTAAATGAACATTGTGAATACAGTAATAAACTGTTATTTAAGATAGAAATGTTCAGTTCCATAATATGTTACACAGTATATATTAAATGGCATATTAATAAATGTAATAGAATATTATGAATGGTACTTAAATATTCATGCAATAAAGTCATTTAAATTTATATGTGAACCGTGTGAATACAGTAATAAACCGTAATTCCGTAATTTGTCGATAATTACTCATGACAGCTTTGAATAATTAAGATTTGCTTTCTTTTTTTTGCAGTCAATGAACCTGACTATTCCATTTTCCGGACCAGTTATCAAACGAAACAAGCCGTCGTTGACAGGCTGGTTCAGCAAACGCAAGAGTGTTCCTCCGCAATTAGAATGTACTCCTCTCAGTGGAAATCTAACACAAATTTTGAAATAAAGGTCACAGCGGTTCCTCACAAAGTGTCACACAAACATATACACCCATTAGTATAATAGGGACAACAAATATGGATTAAAAATCAACCAATCAAATGATGGCTTATATCAGTATACAGTGTGTAGTTAACACTGTTGTATGTTGAATAATCATGTTCTTAGTTATGATTGGTTAAAAATCTAAATCTGATTATTTGTGGAAATCGGTTGCATCAGGGCTGTGCAAAGCTGGTTAATATCAGTATGGCTGAGCAACCCAGAGTGCATCCCTAAAGTGAGGTGGTAAAATCATTCTCATTGGATACTTTGTGGACAAAAGCTGTTGTGATTGGACAGTTAATGTTGAAAGCGTGTTAAGAGAGGACCTAACAGAGCCATAGTATACTTATGAGGCCTACCAGTGCTGCAATCCGTTATTTTTAAATTCCTTAAGTTATGGCAACGTGCAATCAATTATTTAAAGAAAAAAATTAACTAAAAAGTTAAAAGCACAAATTGAATTTGAAAAAAAAAATTGCTATGAAAAAAGTATGTACCTTACTGATGAATTCACTTCATAATTATGAGATTGAAATTATTCTTATGAATTTGTTCTTGTTATGCTCTAAAGAGAAAGTTGGCCTAGGAATTTTTCGTGAGACAGTATTTCTAAAACACTGTAAATTATACTGTAGGACTTGTCAAACATAGACTCCAAAGGGATGCCTTAAAAATGACCAGTTACAAAGCCATTTTCTTTGGTTGGATCAGAATTAATAAAGTTGTTTTTAGGATTGTTTTCCAGTTAAAAATCATAGGTGAAAAATTCTCACAACTACATCTGTCTTTTAATGTTTTAGATTTATATCATGCAACTCAGTTTCATAATTGTGGACTCATTAGTTCATTTTAATATCCAGAACCCATTGTCAATTTAGTTTGTGTTGGTGAATCATTTGTAATATTTTTATATCCCTTGGTATCCGTGTGTAAAGGCTATTGCTATACATGTATAATTTTCCGGTGAGAGGACGATTAATGTTGCATTTCCAAACCCTTTGTATAAGTCAGTTACTTAACCTTGTCTGTTATAGTTTATATACCAAAATGCATTTTGATGTTTGTAAATGGTTGGATTTCTAATACTGCTATATTAGCAGGGTTTATGATATGGTTATTTAGACACCGTGCTTACATTTAAACCTACCAGTAAAAATATTTCTTAGAGCAACTTTTCTACTTTGATATACCCCCTCTATGTATAGTTGGTATTCCTTCGTGTTTAATCGTATTGGGCGAGACTTTCTACTTTTAGTCAACACAACCATGGAAAAGTCTTCCGATTGGGTGAAATTGGGAAAGGAGATTTGAAGTATGCAAATTTGGTTCCATTGTTGTCATGACTTACATGGATAATTTCTGCGTTAAATATTTTGTTTAATTTATATTATTTTGTGATAGATTTGTAATTGCTTTATCAGCATTATTATGATTATTATTATTATTAATTAGGATTTATTTTTATCTTATGATGTATATTATCAATATATTTTATTTATAATAAAACACATTTATCCATTAAGATATTAATAATGCTGGTAATAAAACATGAAAGCCATTTTCCAAACAGCAGTGTCATCATATTTACCGTAAAACATAAATCCATCCATGAAATCGTCACCATAACAATATACCGCCATCAACACTCAGATATTAATCATTTTTAGTATTTCATATTTTTTTCTTGGGTATAAAACCCTTTAGGAGATGTTATAGTGAGTTAAATAGAGGTTTATTTGCAATATTATGTAAGAAAATGAGTATGATTATATGTATGAGAAGAGGAGACAGTTACATAGATACTTAAATGTTTTTGAGGTTGATGTGCTCTATAAAGAGTTTTAAGAAAACACTAGTTCGAGTATATCTCCAAAGGTATAAACCCTTGTTACGTTGTAGAAAAGAAATTATAAATAAGAAAAATAATGTATGTTTAAAGAGTTTTTTTTAATTTTAATTGTCAACATCAAAATCATTGAAAACAAAGTAGCAATGGCTACAACTTGCTTTCCTAATGTGAATAAAAATGCTTGCCCAAGATGAATATAAATCTTGTATTTCTGTCGTTTCATGTGGAACTATGCCAACACATTTACGTTCATGAAATTTGCATCCCTCCTTCCCGTACTCCTTTATTCCTGTAGGTATTCATTCCATCAGGTGTACTCTTATTCGATTTGATTTCTTAAGTAGACGCTCCAAGCAGAAACATGAAGCCATAGTCCTGGTGGTGAACAGTGGGCATTTCATCAAGAGATAATTCCTGTTGTATTCCACATAGAACCAACGGCACATACGGTACGTATTTATTTAAATAAACGCTTGTAAATGTGGAACTACAACACATAATCAATGGCCGTATTCGACTGGTCGTTCTTCGTTAAACCACGCCCACCTGCGCAGTGATAAAATCCTAATTAACGAAGACGACCAGTCGAATAGAAAACTGGTAAATACTTGACAAAACAAAATGTCTGGATAGTTACCGCGATACACGCTGCGTAATCAAGGCTGCTTTAGATTGTGGCAATATGGGTTTTTCGTAAAAAAATGTTTTCATCCAGTTTTTTTTTCATTATTTTTTGACTTCAATGTGGGTAAATATTATAATTTTTATTTTCTGAAATTTAATCTAAATTATATTAATAATAATAATGTTATATTTATATAGCGCATATTGCACATTGACGCAAATGTTGTTAAACTGACCAATCGGCCATATTTTTTTTGGTCACGTGCATAACTTAACGCTGATTAACACATTCTGGTTACGTTAATTTTCGTTGTCAACAAAGTCTATTTTACGAACCAGTCGAATGAAAATAATACAACGAAAATTTGTACTCAACGAAATGAACCAGTCGAATAAGCCCAATATGTCAAAATGTGTTATTGTGTGATCATTAATCCCAACCAGGTTGGAAAAAAATATAATTCTACCTGAGTAAAATATTAATAGAATGTGTTGGGTGTCTCTTCTATTAGTTTGTGTTTACAGACATTGAAGGTGGGAAGGGGTAATTTATTCAATGAAAAAATTAACACCCAGGGGCATTTATTTGAGGGAGACTGTATTGAAATAAATATGGTATCTTTCAAAGGAATGTGTGCTCTTGTACCTTGCATTTCACCTGCTCCCCACCAACTGAAACACGAGCAGTGATGGGTGTGAGTCAGAGGTTCTGAAGAGAATCGCTATGGTTCAGTCAACAAACTAGCTATCCCCAGTTTACCCAACTGAGCTCTCTCCCTTTCCTACTTCAGTTGCAGTCTCCCCCTCTCCCTGGGGAGTATTTCCAGTCATGCAGCCTCCTCAATGGGGGTGGGGGGGGGGAAGAGAGTATTGTTATTCATGCAGTCTCCTTACTGCTGTTAAGTACTGTATTTCTAATAAAATAATAATGTGCTTTCTCCTCCACTCCCTGGAGTCCAGCAGCTAGGCAGTAAGTTTAGAACCATTTGGGGATTCAACACTATGCAATAAACAAAAAGATTATTATAGATTTAATTTTGATTAGATCTGATCTTGAATTACCACTATCGCATCAGTTTGCAAATCACACATATTCAAAAATGAATTATCCAAACATTTGCAGCTTTACAAATGGTAAATACATTTATTTACAATTTTTTAAAATATAAACAAATCTAATATTAAAATAAGTATACGTATTGTGTTTACAGACACAATATTACTATAGAGCCAAGGACCCCATTTACATATTTTGAAAAAGGCCTTTGGGATTAACCATGTGAGGTAACTTCCCGTACAATGTAACCAAACCCAACTAACGTAAAGCTATTCTTTTACAACCTACATAATTTGCAGCGGCTGTTTGATAATACCAGGAAACGTTGCCTGAGTACTCTAGAGAAAGAAGGCTTTTTATGCCAGGGATTTAAGCAGCTGTTAATAGCAGTACTATTAACGTAATCACACATTGGTTCCATATCGGAAAGTAGTCATTTAAGTTGGTCTGACTGACTTCTAAATGACCTTATATACAAGTGGTTCAACATCATTGTGTCTCATTATTTACCAAATAAAAGGGAAAGTTTTTTAGGGTACTGTGGTAGTCCCATGATAAATAAGAAGGTGGCACAGTGGTATGGCTCCATTTGAGAGGTCAGGGTTACTTGTTCATGGCCTTGGGCAAGGCACTTTATCTGCACTGACACTCTCCAACTAGGTACCTGATTGGGTAGCATGCTACTGTGCTAAATAGGACTGCAACTATAGAACAAGTTCTTAAGCATGTTGGTAATAATGATTATTGTTAATTACTCAACAACCATAACTCATCCCATGTACTTTGAAGGTAAAATGGTAACCACAAAGACAAAATACATCGTTAGTCAGTGGCATATCTACTGTAGGAAGTGCGCAGGGGGCGCGTGCCTCTCCAAAAATTACAGCACCCCCATTTCAAGACTTTAGATACGCTGCTGTCGTTAATGTATTAAATTTAATTTAAAATAGTTTGAAACTCAAGTGTTTTGGGCTCTGCTCTTTGATTTTGAGATTTTGGGTTGCTCAATTCCTTGTGTCCTTTGGCCAAGTAATGATAATAATTATTCTATCGACAAGTAGTTTAATCTGTGTTAACATTTTTACCTCTTTGTTATTCTAATAATTAATAAATTTGGCATAAATAATTTGATACAAAGTTCTCTTTTTTTTCTTCTCCAATTTAGATGTCATTAAAAGCCCTACTGAATATTAATTGGTTCCAGATTCTCTATACACCATCTTTATCCAATTGGCAAATTGAGTTACCGGTTACAAATCCTGTGCAATGTAGGCCTACAGTAGAAGGTTAAGAACATTAATGGGACATGTGTCTTCAATTTGGCACATTTAAATCTGGCATTAGATATGTGTCAAAGGTTAAGTTCTTTGGTACTTGCAAAATATCAGTAACATCTTGCATCATGTTTTCAAACTACCATGCCAGTTTGCTGACTTTTAATAATTTTTTGATCAATTTTTAATTTGTACATTATATAGTTGTATTAATAATTATACATACAGGATAGTACAAACTATAAGACTAACAATTTACATACCAAATAATTATAAAAATGTGTAATACATTTTTTAATAATGGGTGGGACATTTTTCATTGTTATATTCAATCTCTTAAAATAATTTAAATGGAAGTCAAGGAGAATAAATTACACCTGATCCACCTTCGATCTTTCCCCAGGTATTTTAATCACAATGGTCTGTTGAGTCACTTTTTAACAGGGCTTACATCATTGCAAGAACAGGTATGGGACTCATTCATGCTTGATACATCCAAGCAACTATTAACAGCTGCCTCAAATTTGACCAGTATACTCCCAAGTCTATGAGTAATGGTTAAGATCATGAGGTCATCATCCTGTCCGTACACTGTAAACCATGGCTGAGGTGAAGTTCCCTCTGAAAATTCTGAACAGTTATGGCACCCATCAATGCTTCATTCATAATTCGCATAAACCACCACTATTAACCACCACAAATTTAACAAGTCCACTTATGAGTAATAGGTCATGAGGTACTTCCTGCCCATACAACTTTACTGAGCTTAAGTTCCCATTGAAGTTTTCTCCAGAACAATAATGGTATCCATTGCTCACCAAAACACCCATGGATTAGACCAGTTCATTCCATCTCCATCAACATGGATGAGTTCCATACCTGTTCTTGCAATGATGTAAGCCATCATGAGGTCATCGTCCTGTCCATACACTGGGATAAAGGTTAGGTTCACCCTTAATTTTATTCAGAACAGTAGTGATACACATTATTGCTTCATTCACCTACACAACCACTATTAACCATTATGGATTTGCCCAATTCACTCATATTTCATGGTTATATCCTGCGGAGGTCATCCTCCAGTCCGTACACCTTGGCTTTGAGGTTGTGGAGCTCTCCCTGGATCTTCTTTGATCGTCTGGCAGTCTTGTGGATGTCGTGCAACATCCTTAGATCTCCATCTTCTCCTATACCCACAGTCACCTGTTCACCAAAGAAGATAATCACAAACATTTTAATTTTCATTATCATTAATCATTGTTTTAAATATCACATTCAAGCAACATTCTGAAAGATTCAAAATTGTTTGTAGTAGAATATTGAAATGCAGTTCACCGATCATTTATGCAAAATGACTATAATATCAGTAGGTGCCAGGCTTGCATTATTTGCAGACATGCTCACATTATATTATATATTTATCATTAATTTTTCTTCCTTGTAACTGTTTATGACCTGTGAAAATAATCTACACTGTAAACCCCTGTTATCAGATTGGTACACCTTGCAAAATTACCGGACACCCAGTCAAATCAAAAGGGAGATGTTTTGTGGAAAAAAAAAACAAGTATGTAATCAGTGTAAAGAAATTAATTCAATTCCTGGAATTTTGTAGAATAATAATTTTGCCCACATGATCTCAAGGGGGGTCTAACGGAAGGGCTGATCAAGTTTGATCACAAGTCAAAATGTGAGACTGGGAGCTGTGGACATTGTGGACACTTAGAGGATTACCTTGAACAGCTGCTTCTCAACATCCTTAAGTCTGGTACGTAGTCTCTTCACATCCGTTTTGAAGCCCTCTACCTCCAGATTGCGACGTTTTTCTAGGGCTTGGTAGCGTTGGTTCATTAACTGAAGTCGTTTGCTCATTTTCTCAGTTCTCTCCTAGATAGAAAATTAATAGCTTAAACTTTTGGTTTCACAATTGCTACAACAAATATGAGTATGTACAAATTTTTGGTTAAGAAATAAAAAATAATAAATAAATGTTTTCATTATGCCACCATATTATCACCACTTTTCATTGAGCATCACACAATCTTTTATATGGGCTGGATATTTAAGAAATGTACTACATGGGCCTATTAATTATTAGTAGGCAAATCTAGGCTAGAATGTAAAATTGTAGGTTTATATCTGCATAAAGCTTTAGGTACACTCCTACATTAACAATTGTATTCATAGAACTGCTACTTTCAAAACCAGACAAAAAGCACCTACTTTGAAAACCTCTCGGCCAACGTCATCTTGCTCTCTTATGCGGGCCAGCTCGTCCTCCAAGCCTATAACCTGTTCCCTATAAACATCAGCCATCTTGTGTGCTTGATCTAATTGGGTTTGTAGAATCTAAAGATAAAGACAAAAGGAGTGTTCATAATTATCCTTTAGTGCATAATGAATTCTGCTCACACAACATTCAGTTTGTTAGCTGTTTACACCATTATGTGTTTAGGGTTCCTTTGATGTTCACCCACTAGAACAAGAATTATAACTAGAATTGTGAATTTGAACAAATTCAGCTCAATTTTTTTAAATTGCTGTTTAATGAATAACTACAATACAGATAACAAAATATGGCAAACAGGCAATTGTGTACATATAGGAAAAATTGAAAATCTTATGAATATCCTGTTATTGGCGAGTTCTGTACTAGAATTTCTGTTTAAATCAAAATATGAAGAAGTCACAGACCTCAAGTTCATCACTGTATGATTGTCGTGTGTCTACTGCATGATGGGATACATGTACGACCTCTTCCTTTGACATATTCAACTCCTCTTTGCACCTGTCCAGTTGTTGTAATAGTTCATCTTTCTCCGCCATCCAGTCCCTCTCCACAGCACGACTCTGATATTTCTGCTCCAAGTAATCTTTGGTGCTGTCATATAGAAGACTCTGTGTTTTGTGTAATCTATGAATTACAAATATTCATATAAAAATTGATGTATACAAAAATGTTTTATCTGCAATTTTTGGTAATGTCATATTTATTTACATGGAAGAAATGGAAGAACATTTTTTTACAAATTTTATGAAAAAAAATAACTACTGTATTTTAAAAATCATATTTGCAAAAAAGCTGGAAAGGTCTTGCCTAATTCTTTATACAGTTATAGAGACATACTGTATCTAAATGTTGGGTTATAATACAGGTCTCCCTCTAATTAAAGATCCCTTCAATTAAAGATCACCTCTAATTAAAGACCACATTTATGTGGACCCAAATAAACAACTGCATTGTACCTTCATATAACACATAACACATTCATATAATTATTTTTATTAATTTTACTACTGTAGGAACCGCTCAAGGAATCTTTACCAACCAGAGTAAACTTCTACTGCCAGTGCAATGCAATGATCTATATATGGTCATGACAACGTGATGTCATCATGACCATATTTAGGCATGTCACATGTGTTTGCCTAATAGAATTTGATAGTCAGGACAGGGCTTCACAATAACAATGTTAGCAACATTTATTCATACTTTTCCTCTAATTGTATTATCCGATGACGGTCTCGCTCCATGACTGTTTGCATTTCATCTGTTCTCACTTGCCTGTCGTCGAGCAGTGTGTTGATTTGATCTCGTGATGCTCTTGTTTGTTCCTCCAATTGTGCTTGAAGGGCATTGACCTGTAAAGCCAGGGTTTCAACATCAGGGTCATCGCTGTTTGAGTTCGTAGCACCAGTTCCCTTGGAATTGGCTGTGGTAGAGATATTTTTAGAGTGCTTATAACTATTTGTTTTTATAGCACCTACCGCACTGGATTCAAATGAAGGGGACATCAACCACCACCAATTTTTTTTATATTTTTTTATTTTATTTTAAAAAAAGGTTTAAAAAAAGTCTGAGGGATTCAGTCTGTCTTAAGATGATACTTGTAAAATTTCAAATTTTTTTGTTTTTTCATAAATCTTGATTTATATAGTGCCTTTCACAATCCAAAGAATATACAAAGGCACTGCTATCATTATTTGCCTGGTCACTGGATACTGGGTCGGAAATTCTGCACATTTTGTGCAACTTTCTTTGCTCTCTAGGGAGTATCTCTAGTCATGCTGTTTACATGCAAACCCAATACGTTCAGTGCAATACCATTCTACTAGGTACCCATCTATACTCCTGGGTGGAGGGAGGCAAACAAAAGTGTCCAAAGACACGAGCAACGCAACGAGTGTCAGTCTCAAACTCCCAATCCAAAACTTTAAATGCTGTGCCATTTGTTTGTGATATTAGAGATATTGTTATTTAAAAACGTAGAGATACACACCTTTTGTCTTACTTCCTCCTGGTGCTTGATGATCACTTCCTCTGGACCTAAATACACCCCCTAGCTGACCAGCTAAACTTAACCTGTCCCCCTCTGATGTATAAGGATGGTGAGATTGGGGGCGTCTTTGAGGGACCACCACCTTAGCTGGAGGTTCTTTGTGGAAGTATGTCACTTCAGGTTCACCCTCGGTACCTAGGGATAAAAGATGTTGAATTCTGAAAACAAAAAATAATGGAATGATGTAATTATTTTAGTTTTTTATAATTCTTCTGTTCATGAAATCACACAATCAATAAATTATATACGGTAATTAGAATCTTGTGTGTCAATTCAAAATAATTGCTGATTGGATTTCAGAAAAAGAATTCATAGCAAAACCTATTGATTAACATAATATATTAGTATGCTGCAAAAATATAAAAGAGCAGACAATGCACTGAATTGGAATAACTTTTACTTTTTTCTATCTTCAATTTCTCTGATCTTAAGGCGATCGTTCTCCGAGTAGAGTCGTAGGACGTGTTCGCGCTCCTGAAACAGGAACACCTGCATATCGCTGAGTGCTTGCTGAAGCTCAGCAATTTCATCTTCACGTTGCTTCAACTCCCATTGTAGCTTGTGCTGTAATGGATATTAAAAAAGACATTATTTGATGAACATCACAGTAAGCACTGATACATTGGGTAAACACAGTAATCAATCAATCAAGAAATCAATCATTCATATCCACAGTTAGAATATAATTTTCAGAAAAACGTAACACTGTCATTTCTCCAAGTTGGCATTTCCTCATGTAACCTGATTAAATAACAAACATGAGACTTCACCTGTGTTTTGATTTTCTAACTTGGTTAAAATAAATGTTATCACTTGTTTCATTTATTCTTCCCAGGCATGATTTATTTGGTAAAATGTACTTCTAAAGAGCATAACAGAATTTAACAATAAATAAAAAGAAACCAATATAACAGCTGGCACAATGGCAACTAAAAACAAAACATACTAAAATATAATTTAAATACAAAATTATAAATACAAGAAAGTGAAAAATTAGCCAAGAAAAATGTTATTTTTTACAGAATGAAATAATTAAATTTCATGTTCATAATTACCTGTTGTTCATAAGTAATTTTATATTGTTCCAGTTTATTTAGCATCTGCTCATGCTCATCGTCAAACTCAGCAATTTTCCTCCGATAGTATTCTAGAAGTTCCCGCGATGGTCGTAAGTAACCCAAACGTTCATTTACAGTTGAAAGCATTGGAGATTGTACCTGATGGTGGAAACTAACATTCTTGCCACCGGACGTTGCTCGACTTCTATCTGCATTGCTGATTGGGGATCCAAGGAAAGCTGACCTGTTATATTAAATTTTAATAAAATACTATTTTATTTTTATTAAGCCAGTTGTATTTTATTTATTATTTTATTTAGATTACAAATTTCAGGATAAAGAAAATAACAACAAAAAGTCCTCCAAGTATAACTAAAATTTAAAGGTGTTGAAAACTAACCAGGGATCCCAAAATAAGAACAAACGTTAGCAAAAAAAAAACAAGATCAAAACAACATAACTATTATACACAATAAGATACATAATATTAATTATTAAGAAAAGTAGGTCTAGCATCTAGTCCTAGGCTAGGCCTAGATAGATGATAAATACTCTACAAAAAAGTTCAATTTAATACATTTTTAAAAAATCCTTTAACAAGACAAGCATCAGATAAGACACTCTACATATTAAGCTTAGGCTTGGTCTGCGGTTGTATATGGGCCAAATGAGCCCAATGACCAGGCAGGCTAGCCTATCTAAGGTCCTAACCACTACACTGTCACTAGGCCCAGCCCTAGCTAGCCTGCAGCTAGCCACTAAGCTATGTAGTAGAGTAGAGTACTAGGCTAGTAGTAGTAGTAGGAAGGCCTGACTACAGACTAGCGCCTGGCCTAGGCCTGCGGTACACCGACGATATATTTCCATAGAACTATGCATAGATTAGCTCTTAAAATGCTGTCGAAATTTCATATAACCTACAAAGAAAATGCTTTAATGTCAACTTTTACTCACTTTCTACTTTCTTGAGTAGTTCGGTATTTTGCTGATGCCATTTTAAATTCCCACCACAACTTACAGAGGGCGCTATATATATTTCTCCCCTTTTCTGTGTTCGCATTAATTTATTTTTATCGAGAAATGTTTTGAGTTGACGAAGCTCATTACAATAAGCACTTAAAAACATGTATGAAGGAACTACCTATAGTTATAGTTTAATGTCAGTCTTCAGCTTAAATTAACTAAATTCAATAATTAGATACACGAAGAATCATTTTTTTCTTAAATTATTAGACAATACTATAATAACCGTTTTGGTTTTTTGCTAATGTCCAGAAACCTATTCGAGAGTATAAAAATGTTCTATAATGGTGGTTTACAAAACTACAGAGTCCCCATCCATTAGCTCTGCAACCTACATGCAGTTACTTCTCACTCTGATGATGCATAAGCGGCGGAACCCACGGGTAACATCTCTCCTCCCCACCCTCGGTCGCACCTAGACGATACATTTTGTCGGGGAACAAACAAATAAAAAAAAATATTTGTAATATTCGTTTAGCCACCATATCGTTTGTGTTAACTTTTCATCAACAACAACCACAATAATAATAATAATAATAATAATAATAATAATAATAATAATAATAATATAATAATAATAATATAATAATAATAATAATAATAATAATAATAATAATAATAATAATAATAATAATAATAATAATAATAATAATAATAATTCAATGAGACTAATTAAAAATAATTTGCGTTCTGTTACGACAAATGCTGATTTAGATAGCCTCATGATGGTTGGAATACATCGTGATAGGTGAAGCAACCTCGACCATGACAACATGGTTGACAGATTTCATGCAAAATTTACAAAATATAGAATTTCACTTAATTAGATGGTTACATTGCATATTCTTTGTTTCTTCTTTCATTCAAAATGTTTCGGTTTTGGAAGCTGATTTCAACATTAGAAAGCATAGCCTACATGAAGTCATATTATAGTAACTCGATGCCTATCAAATAAGTAATAAAAAATCGC